TTTCCCAGCACCACTTATTAAAGAGGCTGTCCTTTCTCCACTGTACACTCCTGCCTCCTTTATCAAAGATAAGGTGACCATATGTGTGTGGGTTTATCTCTGGGCTTTCTATCCTGTTCCATTGGTCTATCTTTCTGTTTTTGTGCCAGTACCATACTGTCTTGATTACTGTAGCTTTATAGTATACTCTGAAGTCAGGGAGCCTGATTCCTCCAGCTCCGTTTTGCTTTCTCAAGATTGCTTTGGCTATTGAGGGTCTTTAGTGTTTCCATACAAATTGTGAAATATTTTGTTCTAGTTCTGTGAAAAATGCCAGTGGTAGTTTGATAGGGATTGCATTGAATCTGTAGATTGCTTTGGGCAGTAGAGTCATTTTCACAATGTTGATTCTTCTCAAGAAAATATTAAAGATTACTTTTTTAGAAGAGGACTACAGGTAGAATATAACTGCCTTCCCATCCTTTCTTAAACACGCTTAGGAAATACTTCTTTTGCTCATGAAAATTTGTACAATCAACCTCTCGGATATGAATACATAATTGATAGCATTTGCATTAATGGGTTTAACTCAGAAGTGTTTGCTGGATAGAAATGCTACTGTAATTTTCAATAGTCATTTTTAAAACTCACATAAAACCTTAGAGCTAGTTTCTGGTCAGGTTGGTTTTGGTTAATCCAGGTTTATATTGTGGTATTATTTGGCCGGCTGAAAAATTTTTCTTTGTGTTATTTGTTAGTCTATCAGCAAGGTAATATACTCTATATTTCAAAATTATTTAAACCTGTAAATAAAATTTTAATCTCCTTTTAAATATATACTATAACTTAATTAGGTTTTTCTCTGTGAAAGACTATTTAATATAGTACTGCTTTTTCACAAATTCTCAATTAAACCTAATTTCTTTTAGGACTGGTATGGTTTCCTATTCTGGTACTAACTAGTTCAAACTGTCCAGAGAACAGGATTGTAATAGAAGGTATTTCCTCTGTGTAATTATTATAATGATATTGAATTTTGATATCATTGAGGAAGGAGCTAAGTGAAAACTTATTTATCCCATGAATATTATGTGCTTAGAATGTACTTCCCTAGATGTTAATTGGGTCACAGTGATCATCAGATAAAATTTCAGTGTTTAGTTATTTTATCAGTTATTTTCATGACTTGATTAAAAGTCTTGATTGAAAAATGGTTTCTTATCCAGAAGTCATTATCTCTTGATAATTGCTAACGATAATCTTCTGATTTTATTTAGATTAATTTAAAGTTTGGTATCAGAAAACCAGAAGCTCGGACAGGAACTGAAACAGATACCTGTACAGCTTGTGCAGGTACCTTGATCCTTGAGTTTGCTGCTTTAAGTCGATTCACAGGAGCAACGATATTTGAGGTTTGCTTTTCATAGTCTTTGATTTCCTGGGTATTGGGCATAACTAACTTTATAGCTTTTCTTCATTGATCAAGTATTAAGATAATGAACTGGATGATTTCTGTTATTTTAGTGAACTTTTTGTCTAAATTCCAGCACATAGTTTTTAATTTTGAAAAACATAGAAGTTATATTAAGTACAACTTTGCTTTTGTTCACGAACTATAAAGTAAATTTTTAGATTTATTCTTACAAAATGTTTTAGCCATATTACCTATATGAAATTTGATATCACAAATGTCTTACATGAAATACTATCTGTGTTTTATTGTTAGACTTCTAGATGGTCTATTTCATTTCTGAAAACTTACTTATCTTCTAAAACATAGTGAAATTTTTGCACTTAAGTCTCATTGAATTAGTTTTTTGCACTTAAGTCTCATCTGTAAGTTTGTTTACTCCAAGGGGAAATATTATTCATCATCCAAAGACTTAATATCCCCCAAATAGTTTGCTGTGGACTAGGTATGTCTTGCAGTTTTTATTTTAGCTAATTGTTTAACCATGTCATTGGAGTGCAATAGTAACAGCCAATTTTTAAAACATATAACTTAGAAGAATTTCTTTTTTTTCTTTTTTTTCTTTTTTTTCTTTTTTTTTTTTTGCGGTACATGGGCCTCTCACTGTTGTGGCCTCTCCCGTTGCGGAGCACAGGCTCAGGACGCGCAGGCTCAGCAGCCATGGCTCACGGGCCCAGCTGCTCTGCGGCATGTGGGATCTTCCCGGACCGGGGCACGAACCCGTGTCCCCTGCATCGGCAGGCGGACTCTCAACCACCGCGCCACCAGGGAAGGCCTAGAAGAATTTTTTAAAGTTCAGCAAATGGTACACATAGAACAATCAGAAATAGGGACTATATACTAGCATTAGAGACCTTGGATCTGAGTGTAAATAAAATAAGTTAAATGGTCTTTGTGTGGTTGTATGTTCAAAGTATCTTAAGGACAAGTTTATCTTGTTTGGTTTAATTTTTGTTCTCTAACTTGCTGACTGATATTTTCCCTTCATTTACAAAAATGTCACTTTTGCATACTTTCTAATTTAATTTGACCTACAAACTCTGAGATACTGATGCATTTACATGTGAGCAAAGTGAGGTTCAAAGATATTTGACTAAAGGGTGAATGAGTGGAACCAGAATTAGAATCCATGCCTTTCTGAATTCAAAGCCCAACCTTTTTTCACTGGGTTATTTTATATTTTAAAACTGTGATTTTTCTTTAACTTCTTGAATATACAGTGATTTATTATGAGAGAAGCAACCTAATGCAGTTGACAGAGACTCAAGCTAATACAGGGCTGGTAAACTACAGTCTGAGGTGAAATCCACCACTGCCTGTTTTTGTAAATAAAGTTTTTTTGGAACACAGCCATGCTCATTTATTTATTTTTGTCTATGGCTGTATTTTATGCTACAGTGGCAGAGTTGAGTAATTGTGACAGTGACTGAATGGCCCATAATGCCTGAAGTATTTACTGTCTGGCACCTGTCAGAAAAAAGGTTGTTGACTTTTTGGTCTAATATATTGCTATTTAAAGAGATCTGAATTCTCGTATTAGTTGTCCTATAATTCAGTTTTAAACTTTTGTTAATTCTTTGATTTCACTGGGCCTCTTTCCTTAGCTATAAGATAGGAATAGGGAAATGTAATCTTTATGAAACTTTCCAGCTCTGAAATTATACCATTAAGTAAAGTTGCAATCTGCTTTGTTTAAAAAATTCAGCATAAATAGTCAAGAATTAAGACTATTTTACATCCTATTCTTCAATCTGCAGAGTGACAAATTGGTTTAATGATTTCTTTTATAGAAGTACTTCGGCAATGCTGAGTAGATTCATGCTCTGAAATTAATTTTAACTTAGAAACTCTTTTGTACATGTTCTTTGCTTTTGTTTTGTAACATCTTTTCATCCAAAGCCAAGAATTTGACCAGAAATAATTTTAATTTAGTGTCTGAGCAACAAAAATAAATGAAAAAAGAAGAGAAAAATATTATTATAAGGTTATAATTTTGGTATTGTCAAATGAATACTAGTTGATTTACTTACTCTTCACTAATGAAGTTGCTGGCTGTTTAAAATGTAGGATTTGAAATGTCTATTCTGTTTCAAAGATGGCATACCAACTTTGAAATTCTCTTCCAGTTTTGTAAATTAGAGTATCTAAGGAGATTTTTACTTTGCATTTGAAAGATAGAAATTGAGTCTGCCTGCCGATACAGGGGATGTGGGTTCGTGCCCCGGTCTGGGAGGACCCCGCATGCCGCGGAGCGGCTGGGCCTGTGAGCCATGGCCGCTGGGCCTGCGCACCGCAAAAAAAAAAATAAAAAAAAATAAAAGATAGAAATTATTTTAATAAGTTAATTTAATTATGCCAGTTCTTTTTACTTTAATAATACATGTGTGTGAATGCAGACCTGTACTACAAGAGTAGATGAACAAGGATGGTCTCAAAGTGAGATCATTGGCACTAAATAGCATTTTTAGAGTCATTCTTTTTAACTAAACTCAATTGGCTGAAAAAGCCAGTAGTTTTGACTTGCAAGGAAATTTAATGTATGTTATAAGTATCTTTGGAATTTTTCTTAATCCTTGAAATATACTATGGGCCTTTGATTTTTGTTTCGTTTCCTGTTTGCCAAAGATATGCAATTCTTCAAGTATGCTTTTCTTTTTTTGTTATAGGAATATGCAAGAAAAGCTCTTGATTTTCTCTGGGAGAAAAGACAGCGAAGTAGTAATTTAGTGGGCGTGACTATAAATATTCATACTGGAGATTGGGTACGAAAAGGTATGTAAGTTGGGCTTTTCAAATTAAGCCTTGACATCCTCAAAATGGTTGGGAAATAAAGGATTTTTATTTGTTAAAATAGTCTTTATGACAGTATAAAGCATAGTTTCTCAACAAGATTGCTAGAATTTTAACCAGTGTAGCCAAATTTTCTTCCTTGGTGCCAAATAATAATAGCACACTTAATCTAGATGGCTAAGTGTACTATTTTATGCCTTATAGCATTATAGATGAAACAATAGAACTAATTTCTTTGAAGATGAGAGGATCAGAATACCTCAGCCATCTCATATCAAGGTGTAATTAAGTGGAAATCTGTATTTAATAATATTATCACCAACACTTACGTTTTTTCTTCCTACCTCCAGAAATAGTATATAGCGTGGTAGCTAAGATCATAGACCCTGGATTCATATTGTTGGAATTGAAGCCATGTGATCTGGGGCAAGTTATTTAACCTCTGTGTGCCTCTGTATCTGTAAAATGAGGACAATATCATAGAGTTATTATGATTTTTGTTTTGTTTTTTTATATAATCTTTATTGGAGTATAGCTGATTTACAATGTTGTGTTAGTTTCTGCTATACATCAAAGTGAATCAGTTAGAATTATGATTAAATGAGTTAATGTAAAGAACTTATAACAGTGCCTGGCATATGTTACACTTACTATGAAGTAAGTGCTCACGATGTTAGTTCCTTTGATTAATAATTTCACTTTTGGGAATCTAGCCTGAGGAAACAATATAAAAGGTAGAAAATCATTTGTTCCCAAAGATGTTAATCACATAAAATTATTTGTAGTAGTGGAAAACTTGGAAACAGTCTAAGTGATCATCAGTAAAGAATAACATCAGTGTTTGAGAATTATTTCACATCAGTGTTGAAACAGTAAGTTTTTAAATTGAATCGGATCAGGGGACAAAGCATATAACAATGTTTTATGAACAAACAGGATGTAAGATCATATAAAAAATATTTTATCTTTATAAGACACCCCTATAAAACAGGCATAGACAAATGGAAATATACTAGACTATTCCTAATGAGATTTGATTGTCTAATTTACACATTTCTCTGTTTTCCTAAAGGCTTATGTTATATATAAAATAAAAAATAACTGCATATATTTAAATGAATGAAAATGATATAAGTATTAATTTGAACATATTAAAATTATTGCCTCTATTCACTAATAGAGGCAATATTGTCTAAATTTTTCAAAGTGTTATCTAAATGGTCCCTTCCTGAAACTGATCTGAATCCTGGCTTCAGAATTTTATAATTTCTTTTCTTAATTCTTATTTCACTCTCCTCATTGGCCCATGCATGGCCTATTTTATTTAGTCATTTTTAATAATGTAGTAACCACCCACAGATGGACCATCCATTATAAAAGCAACTAACTTGATAACATACTACTTCTGCATATGGTCCTTGACTCTCCATACCTCTGTAATCTCATACCTCTGTCTCCAACTGAAATAACCATCATTCTGATATTGTATTGATCATTCCCTTGCTTTCCTTTTAGTACAGTTTTATTGCATCTATATGTATTCCTTAAAAATATATTTTTTGTTTTGATTTTAACTTATAAAAGGGCATCATGTCATATGAGACATTTTGAGACTTTTCACTTAAAATTATATTGCTAAAATTCTTGCACATTGTTGCATGTAGTTCTTTCTTTTTTGACTGCTGCATAATATTTTATTGTGTGAATAAACCATTATTTATGAGCATTTAGATTGTTTCTACAATTTTACTCTTGTGAACCCTAGTGCCGCCGTGAATATTTTTGTTTCTTCTGTTATACGTGTGTAAACGTTTCTTTTGTCTGTATATCTAGGAGTAGAATTTTTAGGTCATAGGATAAGTTAAAGTTCAACTTCAGGAGACATGTCAAATTGTTTTCTAAAGTTGTTTCACCACTTTACACTTTCACCTGCAACATAAAAGAGATCCTGTGGATCAGCATCCTCTCCCAACACTTTGCATTGTCATACCCAAAGATTTTGCCAATCAAATGGGTGTACAAATGATTTCCCATAGTGGTTAGATTTGTATTTCTTTGATCACCAATGATGTTGAACACTTCTTCGTATTTATTGGCTATATATGTTTCCTTTTTTTTTTTTAATGTGGATGTTCTTATATATTGTCCATTTTCTGTTGGGTTACTTGTGCTTTTAAAAAATATTATTGATATTATATGATACTTACGATCTATGTGATACCTATACCTTTGAAATTTATTAAGGTTATCTTTTTGCCCTAGAACATGGTCAGCTTTCACTTGTGCTTAAGAAAAAATATATATTTTTTCTAATTGTTGGTTATAAAATTCTGTATATGTCAGTTTGTTCAGTTAATAATGTTGTGCAGGTCCTTGCTGATTTTCTGTTTGCTTGACATATCAAGAATTAAAGAAGGTAGATAAAATTTCTGACAATGATTGTGGACCTATTAGTATCTCCTTGTAGTTGTATTTTTGCTTTATATATTGGGTGCATTCATTTAAAATTGCTGTCTCTTCTTAGTTGAACCTTTCATCATTATGCAGTGACCATCTCTAATAATACTGTGTTAAAGTCTATTTAATGTGTTGGTAGTGCAGCTACATTGGCTTTATTTTGCTTAATATTTGCCTGATAAGTCTTTTTCTGTCCTTTTACTTTCAATTTTTGCAGGTGCTCATGCCATAAGTGTAACTTCTGTAAAATTTATAGATTTTACAGATTTACTGACAAAAATCCATTTGTCAGTCTTTGTCTTTTAATTGGTAAATTTAGTCCATTCATGTTTATTGGTATTTTTAATATATTTGGGTTTATTTATACTACCTTATTATTTCAGTGTGTCTCACCTTTTCTGTTTCCTTTTAATCCTTTTGTTTTTAATTGAAAGCTGTATTTACCTTCTAGTGAGACATGAACTTTAGCATGCTCTCCCATCCTTTTGTTTCCCTCTGTTCCAACCCTCATCCTCTGTTATGTTGATATCATATAGATATTTAGCTCTTTTTGATTATGAATGTTTTCTTTTTTTTCTTTTGGTCTTAGTGCTGCCCCCTCCCTCTTTCTTTAAAGATAATAAACTTTAACAAGGTATTTTGTCGCCTGTACTTTGTATATTTCTTGCAGCATCTCTTAGATTTGCCTCTCTTCTTATATAAGTATTTATCCCAAACTGTTTTCAGTAGCTTTTAATAGCTTCTGAGGCCTTACATGTCTAACAATAATTTTATTATGCTTTCTTATTTGAGAGACTGTTAGGCTGTAAATAATTTTCTGTTCAAGTTCTTTCCTTCCAAGTCTTTGAAAATATAACTCTATTGTTTTCTTACATCCTGTCAAAAAATCTGTTATTCTGATTTTTATGCCCTTATTTGTGATCTTTTTCTCTGGAAAATTAAGAATATCAACGACAAAGAGAAATTTCTGAAAATGTCACAATAATTTTATGTGTAGAATTTTCTTTATCTCCCCTTCTGGTATTCTGTGGGCCCTTTCAATTTAAAATCTGTGTTTTTAATTGCTGAAAGTTGATCTTTTTTTAAAAGTTATTTTATCTCTTTCATTTTTATTTATCTCTTTTTGCAATTCCTTTTATTACATGCAGTCTTATAGTTTGCTAATTTGTTCCTCAGCTGTATCCTAGATGCCATGTATCGCATCTATTATGGAATTTTGTTACATTTTTATTCCATAATTTCTTCTCAATTAATGATTTATTTTCTTCTCCTTTTGTGTTGCTGATATCTTCCCTATCTCTTTAGTGTGTTTATTAGACTAATTTTATTCTTTTAATTTATTTTTATTTATTTATTAATTTTTACCTCTTTATTGG